AGCTGGGGAGGAAGAACTCACTTTCCTGCTGACAGCAATCAGAAGACACTCTGCTGCTCCGACTTGGAGTTCAGGCTCATTTAGGAGTAGACACAACATCTCCAAGAGCTTGCAGTTGTCTGCTGTGATATGGCTTAGGGCTACCCAGTCAATGTAGCCAGCCAAAGTGTTGAGTGCTGCTATCCCCACACGGCAGTTTGCCTGGGCCTGTGAACAGAGAGGAGGCAAGAGGTCAGAGACAGAGAAAAACACCAATTCCCATCTAAAGCCATCCACTCCTTGGAATAACAGTGCCAAGAACCCCCCGGCAAAGTGAGAAATTTGGACCCTTCTGCTGTTACACCTCACTTCTCAATGCATTTGTATTATGAGGGGAAAAAAATCCATCTGTAAATGAGAGCAGGCAATAAACTCCAAAGCCTGGGAAAAGCCTAGTTCTAAACAACTTGCATATTAAGAATGACTGATGCACTAACTCCCATATAGCTCCACTCACCTTTGGTTCCTGAGCCAGATCAGTCTTCTGAAAAAGAAAGAAGAGATTAAGTAAGTGAGCAGCTACAGCACACACTTTCACCCAGCCACTGCTGGAAAGACAGACGGAACAGCTCTCTAGTGGAAGAGGCTGCATCACAGTTTCCCACTTAGGACATTGCTGCAGCCAACAAAACTACCTTCACAGCCCCCGGAGAGATAGGACAACAGGACTATGAATTGCAAGTTAAGCCACACCTTCCTTCTCATCCAAAAGATAACACTCCAGTTGGCAGGCACCAGGGAGACACAAGGGACAAGAAGGAAAGGCATTTTGGTGCTTCCTAGAGGCCTCTGGGGAAGACACTTTCCACCTTCAAGAGCATCTTACAACCAAAAGTCAGACTCTGAAAAATGCTAGTGGCTTTTATGTGCCAAGATTCAGGTCTGAAAAGGGTGATTTGTCCATGGTCAGAAAGGCAGCTGGAGAGAGCTGGGGCAACAGCTTACAGCTTACAGCCTGACTCCCAGTCCCAGACACTCAACAGCAACAATGCACTGCTTGCATCATCCTTTTGCCTAATTCAAGTGAGTCCCTCAGACACTCAAATTTGATTTGTTTTTCAGATGCAAAGGCACCACAAGCAAGGTTTATGTTTGGAAATTTTCTCCATCAGTCTATTCACTGCAGTAAATTTAAGGTAATTGGCTTGTGTCCCAAACACTGAATAAATGACCCACCTTATAAACATGTTTATCAATTAATCCATCATACTTATAAGCAGATTATCATGGTCTTGGGGAGTTGTTTATCATCTCCCTCAGTCTCAGCATGCAGACAGGTAAGGGAACATCCAACCCTCAGAATTTACCCTGTGCAAAACCATCCCAAAGATCTGCTAACCTGTGGAGTGGTGAGGACTTCTTGTTCCTGGGGTGCTCCAACCTTGCCAATCAGAAAGATTCCACCATTAGCAGAAGCAGCCACACTTCAGAGTCTCAAGCATTGCAATGCAAACCTTACCTGGAAATGCATTTCAACTAGACTACAAAACACACCAGCGTCACCCTCCCACCCCCAGGAACTGCACTGCTCTACAGGGGAGTTTGTTCAGCCTCTCAGTGCATCAGGAAAATTACAGAAATCAAGAAGGAGAGGGTTTTTCTGTCTCCCAGTTTCATATTTAGTATAACTCTGGATTTTAATTCAAAGAAAAAAAAACCACAAGAGATAGACCTAAGCAACTTGCTGCTAGTTTGGCTTCTCAATTGTGCTTCACTCTTAAATCCACCTCCTTCTCACAGGAACACACTGGGGTAGAAACCTCCTTTGCCATCCATCATGACCAACCTGCACATCTCTGACTACTTACTGTAGGTAAGAACTCAGGAAAGAAGTTCTCTTTACACAAAAGGGAAGAGCACTCCTCACCACAGCCTGACATAAAAAAGGACTTCCTAACTTGAGCTCACGGAGAAAAGGACCAGAGGCCCAGACATATGTTGAGACATGAGAAACTCATGTGTTTTGGTGTATCACCTCAAATACACCACTGCAGCATGAGAGAGCAGACACAACTCCAAGTCCCCCTGTTTCTGCCACAAGCACACCTTCATTTTGCTAAGCCATACACCCCTGGTGTCAGCAGGGCATTCCAACAATAAGGACAAAGCACATATCCATTCAAGCCATTTACACTAACAATACCAAACTATCAACACTAACCCTGTCAACTTGGTGTGTTCGGTCTCTGTCATCACACCAGCTTCCCAGGCATATCCCTACCTCACAATGACAGCAACAGATTTCACAGTTTCTGCACTTGCTTCCCCAACACCTAAATGCCACCAGCACTGACTGAATCCAAGGAAAGGAAACTCTTACCATGCATCTGTACTTGTTGACGTTCTGCTGCAGGGCAGTTACTAGGAAGCTGAAGATCTTCTCCATGTTTTGGGTGAGGGTTTGCTGGATGTCTCGTCGCCGCTGGGTAGGCAGAGTTTGAAAAGTCACCACATCCTCTGCCAAACGTAGGAGGATGAACATCACCAGTTCTGTCTGGGTTTCCTGATGTCCCAAAATGAAATACGCTCTATCAGCACAGCCCAAGCATTAAAAATCTCTAGAGGTTAGCTCAAAGATATGGAGAGAAAGTGAGCACGCGTGAAGATACAAGTCACACCTTGGGAAAACAAGACAGGAGGATAGTCCTCTCTCTGTCAGAGTCATCTCTTAGAATAGCTTAATCTCACAGGGATTTTTGAGTCCATCATCAGCCCATCTCACCTGACCACTAGTGAGTCAGGGTGATGGAAGACTGAACCCCACACTGTGAGCAAGCAAAAGAGAACAGACAGCTGTGACTCATACCCCTTGCTTGGAGAGGGTATCCAGCTCCTTTAGCATGTCAGGCCAGTGCTGAGGCCATTCACGCTTGATCATCTCCACCACAATGCGAGACAGAACATCCTTGATGTGACTTTCCTCCTCCAGGATACTTTGAGTTCCCTGTGACAGAAAGAGGGCAGAGTTATACAAAAGAGCAAACAAAAGGCATTTATGATTCTGACCTGGGAAGCACAGTGTCTGTAAATATTGTATACCACAAAAACTAAAAACAACAAAACAAAACACAACATTGGGCAGCTCTTCATTGCAGCTACCTTAGATGACACTCCTACACTCCCAAGCATCCATAACTAGTGAATTCTGGGAACCAGAGGGATTTTCCTCGAAAGATGGCCACTTGGTCACGAGAGCAATCACAACAACAGAGTAAACACAACTAAGATAATGACTTTAGTATTCTTGCAAAGGATAAGAACATCCAAAGTTATTGAATTTCCTCCTAAGAAAAAGTACCTTATATAAGTTATACAAGCCTCACAACTTCCTGCCATGTGAGGTGACACGGTTATTCACCTGACAAGACAGAGAAAAGCACTGAAACAACCAGAGATGCATAGGGAAAAAGCAATGAAATGAAGAATTGAATTCAGGTCCTCTATGCTAATTAACTGGCGTACGTTTTCCATTCGCTCCCGAATTTTATCTTCAAGTGAGAGACTTTCAGAGATCAGCATGGGGTAGCAAGTACTTACACTGGATATGAGGCCCATGACATTGTTCTTTAGATAAACTTTTTCTAGGCGAGGCATATTGTTCCAGCGGTATCTGTTAAACACAAACAAACCGGGCACCAAGTCAAAACACTTGTAAAGATCTCTGACTGGATTCTTTACTTAAACTAGAGACAGTACAACTCCCTGCCTCTGCCAGCACCCAATCCCTTAACGAAAAGGCTGAGTTAAAACTGCTGCTGGCAAATGGGCGTGCCCCACCGAGGTCAACAGACACAGCAGCAAAAGCACAAAGCAAAGCACAAAGCATCAGGTCTGTGGAGGCAGCAGAGAAAGGAATCTCAGAACTGAACTAATACAAAGCCTCTTTGTTAGCACCAGGCTAATGACAGAGAACACTGCAAAGACCTACTGGTAACCCAGTGGGTTTATTTTCATCTTGTGATGGCAACGTGTCTTTGAGCCCTGTGAATTAACCTTCCTAGCCCGCCTGAAAGCCAGTCTCCCCTCTCCTTCTTTAACAGAGGAGAAAAAGACCAAAAGAGGACAGCAACTGTCCTCGGATGCAGAAGTTTCCCTGCATCCTGAAAGTGTCTCCCCGGCGCGGGAGGCGCTGGAATGGGCGCCAGCGGCGGGGCGGGGGGGTGGGCAGCAGGCCGGGACCCTTGGTCCGTCCGGGACCCGGGACGAGGACAAGCCGCCTTACTTGACCACATGCTCCAGGATCTGCAGGCCGAAGTGCCGGACGATGGCCGTCTGCGTCTTCTCCGCCAGCTTCAGCCCGCAGGGCACGCAGATGGGGCACTTCTCCTTGAACTCCTCGCAGAACTGCGGGAGGGAGCAAGGCCGGCACATGCAGTTACACACCGGGGCAGGAGCTGGCAGTCCTACCCCTGGGGCAGCACGCCCGGGGGCAGCCGCCCGACAGCCCCGCCGCCTCCCCCCGCCTACCGACGGCTCCCAGCGCCTCAGGGGCCGCCCGGGACTCGCCCGTCCCCGCTCTAGCCCAGCTCAGGGCCGCAGGGACGGGGCGCCCGCGTGGCCGGAGCCCGGCGCCCTCCCTCCACCCGCCCCTGCCCGGCCGGGGCGGTACCTTGAGGGCCTCCAGGCGGTAGCGCTGCGTGGACGCGGGGTCCATGATGACGGTCACGGCCTTCACCAGCTGCTCGCAGAGGCCGCTCACCTGCTCGGCGGACATGGCGGCGGCGGCGGGCGCGCGCCACCGGCCACCCACGGGCGCACGAGCGGGGCGGCCGGGACACGACTCCGCGCATGCGCCGGGGGCGCCGCGCGCCGCCGGGGCGGGGACACACACGCACGCACCCAAAGGGAACTACAACTCCCGGCGTGCCCCGCGCGCGGCGCTGCTGACGCATCCGCGACTACGGGTGCCGCGGGGCGGGGCGGGGCTCTCGGTCATTTAGCCCGCCGGGCGCGAGCCGCTGGCGGTGTCGGGATGTCGCGGGGCCGGGAGCGTGTGGTGGCCCTGGTGGACATGGACTGCTTCTTCATGCAGGTCGAGCAGCGCCTCGACCCGCAGCTGCGCGGCCGCCCCTGCGCCGTGGTGCAGTACACCGAGTGGCAGGGCGGCGGGTAGGTCGGCGGGCCGGCCGCGGCGACCCCGGCTCCCTGCCCGGCGTCCCGCCGCTCCTGCACCGCCCCTCCGTGTCTCTGCAGGATCATCGCCGTGAGCTACGAGGCGCGCGCCTTCGGCGTGTCCCGCGGGATGTGGGCGTCGGAGGCGCGGGCGCTGTGCCCGGAGCTGGCGCTGGCGCGGGTGCCGCAGGCGCGGGGAAAGGCGGACCTCACCCGGTGAGAGCGGGAGCGGGGCGGCGGGGGGCTCCTCCCGGCGCGGGGCGGTGGCTGAGCCCTTGCCCGCCGCCCGGCAGGTACCGGGATGCGAGCGTGGAGGTGATGCAGGTGCTGTCGCGGTTCGCCGCCATCGAGCGCGCCAGCATCGACGAGGCGTACCTGGACCTGACCGGCAGCGTCCGGGACCGGCTGCGCGCCCTGCGCGGCGGGGCCGTGTCCGCAGCGCTGCTGCCCAGCACCTTCGTGCAGGGGCTGCCGGCAGACCCCGGCCCCGAATCCGGCGGGAAGGGTACGCACCCGGACCCGCTTTGCTTTGAGGCTGCGCAGCGAGAAAGGAGCACAGTGCCACTTTGTGCCCTCCTGTCCCCCCTCGGTCCCCGTCCCCCCTCGGTCCCCGCTCCGTCCCCGGCCCCCCTCCGCTCCCCGCCCCCCTTCACCCCTATTCTCCCTCCACCCCTGCTGTTCCCTGTGTTCTGTCCTCTCCTACTCCATCGGTAACGCTCCCTGTGCCATCAGCAGAGGCAGGGCTGCTTTATCTCCCCCCGAAGCAAGAGGGTGGTAAATGGGGTCTGTGTTTTCCCCAGTGCATGGATTTCAAGGTGGCTGCTTCTCTTCCCTGTGGTTGGCATGCGGTTACAGAATCCTGTGGCCTCTGGCTGGGGCTGGGCTGATGCTACC